TCCACTGGGTGTGAAGGTGCCTACCTGTATTCCCAGCCTTTTGGGAAGCTGAGACAGGAGGATTACAAATTCAAGTCCTACCTGGGTAACTTAGTGAGATGCTGTCTGGAAAAAAAAAAAAAAAGGGACTGGGAATGTAGCTCAGTGAAAACCCTGGGTTCATTTCCTAGTACTAGAAAAATGCAAAGAAATATTCCTCCTTACTTCACTTTATGCATGTATTGTGAGCACCTTTTTATCGAACATATGTTTTACTGAGCGTTTATGGCATTTTAGGCTTGCAAGTGCTGGACAAGGGCTTTACCACAGAGCTACACTCAGAGCCCAAACTTCAAGGAAACAAGAAGACCTAAGAAAAATCCCTTTCCTCATGGCCTGTTAGGCAGACAGGTGTGTGAAAATAACAATAGAAAGTGTGCTATTCTTTCTGTTTTTTTTTTTTTTGTTTTTGTTATTTTTGGTACCGGAAATTGAACTCAGGACCTTGAGCTTGCCACGCAGGTGCTTGTGCCTCTGAGCTATATCCCCGGCCCTAATACTGGATGGTATTTAGTGTTCTTTTTTTTTTTTTTTTGACCAGAAATCGAACTCATGACCTAGTGCTTGCCAGGCAGGTGCTGTGCCACTGAGCTCCATCCCCGGCCCTCTAACAACAGAAAGTGTGACAAATGGTGGATTCAAAGAGTGAAGCTCTTCATGTAGCCTGTTGTGGGACAGGTAACTTAGGAAGGCTTCCTGGAGGAAGCAGTATGGGAATGGGGTCTTTAAGAATGAACAGAATCACTTAGAAATGGTTAATATGGTACATATGTATATGCACAATAAAATTTTTTTTTTTTTAAATTCACTTGCACATTAGGGTTTATCCTTTTATAATCCTGCAACTATTTGATGTGGAATGCCAAGGCAGACAGTAGGGATACCACAAGGAAAAAAGCCAAGGCAACCTGGCCAACACCTGCAGTTCTATGAGCAAAATCATTTTAGTCTTTTGACCATTCTAGTTGCTATCTGATGCCAGCTGCATGAGCATGCCCATCAACTGACAAAATGTAGAGAAATAAGCACTAAAACGAGCCCTTTTTTAAGCCACTAAAAAATGAATTGGAGTTTAGTGAGTGGAAAGAGAAAATGAAACTTGAGGCTTGAGCAGGATACAAGGAAGAAAACGCACAAGGGACTTGATCCTTGCTGTCCATCTTGGCAGGCCAGCCACCAGAGATGGCACTTGTGGAACACTTCCTGTGTACCTGGCTCTGTTCTAAGAAATCTCCATGTTTTATTTCACTGGGTCCTCACAACAGCCTAGATGAGGGAACAGAGACATAGAGAAGCCAAGTAACATGTTGAAGGCCACACAGCTAATAGGTGTCTTTTTGCCCATCCTCCTCCTTCTAGTCTTGAGAGCCAGAAGAAAAAGCACATCTAACAGAAGTTCCTGTCCAAGCAAGAGATGAAGGCTATGAAACCTGACTGTCACAGGTATGCTGAGGGGTGGGTCTCTCCACCCTCATGGTTACTGATGTCCCCTTCCGGTACCATTAGCATGGCATTATTTTTCTGTGTCAGTTCTTGTGGTCCTACCATGATACACCCCTGGGTCAGGAGATATGTCAGTATGTGCTTTGTTCATTTTTTTTCTTGTAGCTTTGGGGCTTGACCCCAAGACCTTGCTCATGCTAGGCAAGTGCTCCACCACAGAGTTATACCTGCACCCTTTTTTTATTTTTCATTGTGAGACAGGGTCTCATTAAGTTCCCCAGGCTGGCCTCCAACTTGCAATTCTCCTGCCTCGGCCTTCCCAGTAGCTGGGATATGAGGCATGTGCCGCTGCATCTGGCTTGTGCTTTGCTCTTTAATGTCACTTCTATCTCCTGATCCCTCTCTGAGGCTCATGCCATCTAGTCAGTTTCACCTCATGGCCGCCCCTGCTGTTCCTCAGGTGGAGAAGAGCTTGTGAAGCATCTCTGGTTTCCTTTCACCCCTGACTGTGCATGATCCTCGGAGCTTTGAGGTCCATAAGCATCTAGGTTCCTTGACTGTTTCATCTTCAGTGATGTTTTTCCCTCCACTCTACTTGAACCAGGAACCCGCTCACCTGGCTGCTCATTTGACTTTCTTGGTTAAAACAGCTGTGCTTGGGGCTGGGGATTTAGCTCAGCGGCAAAGTGCCTGCCTGGCAAGCGCAAGGTTGTGAGTTCGGTTCCTGGTACCGGAGAAAAACCAAAAAAAAAGCTGTCCTTAAACCTTTTTAGGGTTTCGTGGAAGGGATGGGTTTCATGGAAGACAATGTTCCACAACCCAGGGGTCGGAGGTGTGTGGAAGGCTGGGGCTGAGTGAGTGGGAAAGTAAAGGGGTGGGGGATCGTTTCAGGATTAGAGTCTCATAAGGAGTTCACACAACCTAGATCCCTCATACGCACAGTTCACAGTAGGGTTCACGCTCCTATGAGGATCTAACGCTACCTTTGGTCTGACAGGAAGTAGAGGTCAGAAGATACTGGGAGCTGTAAGTACAGATGAAGTTTTCCTTACTCACCTGCCACTTACCTCTTTCTGTGTAGCCTGGTATTTGTCTGTGGTCTGGAGGCTGGGGACCCCTGAGTTAAGATATCTTCTCTGATGGTAATTTCCATTTCTCCCTTGCTACATCAGAGAATTCCACAACTGTCTGAGACTCCATTACACCTGTGTGGGAAAAACCCATCCTTGGATTAATCCAGTGTCTCACTCTGTGTGTTTTTATCTTGGCTGCTCAAGCTAACTATAGGAAAATCACATGAGCCATTTTGCTCACATCACCCTACATTTGGAGTCTCCATTCTCTACCAGGCCCTCACTATGGCATTTAAATTTTTGCCATATACCCCTGCATGTGGAGTTGCCACTGTAATTATTTCAAACTCATAGTCAAACTTGACCAAATGCTTCTGGAGGGCAGAATCTCTATCTGGCTTCTTCTTAACTGAATTTCAAGTCCATAGGATGAGATTAATATGTAATAGGCACTCAAGTTAGTAAGGTGTAGTACACCTTCCTGAGTAAGGTGTAGTAACAGTGTTATGTATTCAGTAAATGTTAGCCAGGCCAGGTTCTATTCTATGGGAGTTATGCATATTAGCTAATTTAATTTTCACAACTCAATTCGGTTAGTTAGGGCTTTTGTCATTCCCATTTTATACATAAAGACATCTAGAGAGGCAGCTTGGAGAGATGAAGTCACAAAACTAGTAAGTGGCAAAGTGAGTATTCCATCTTTTCAAGCTATAAATGCTTAGCAGTCCAGCTGAATTCAGTTTTAGACAGGTTTAGTTTTGTGTGTCTGAGGGGCAATCAGGCAGCTGGCCCTCAGATTGAAGCTCAAGAGCATGGAAATTACAGAGCGTCAGATCTACGAAGGGGGCTGGAAGTGTAGCTAGTGGTAGAGTACTTGCTTCCTATGCACAAAGCCCTGAGGTCAGTCCTTAGAAGGAAAGAGGTGCCTAGGAAGGGACAGATAATCTGGTGACTTCAGCAAATGGAACATCCAACTAATTTGCACCTGCTGCTTCTGCAGAGCACCTCCAACAGGTTCCTGATGGAAATGCAGCAGTGTGGGTCAGATTGCACTCGGGGGTCAAGGCCCTTCCTTTATCACAGTTTGAGGTAAGAGACCAATCACATATGGGAAAATGGGTGGACCCATGGTATACTGGTTGGTGACTCTGAAATTGGGGAAGAGTCCCCCACGGACTAAAATTCAATCTTGACTTTTAACTTTTTTTTGTCCTTTTGTTAAATGCATTTCTGAGAGATTTCCCAGGTAGGAAAGCATTATCATTGCCTTACACAAGCCGCCTTGCCCTCTTCATGGCTTTTGCCACTGATTCCAGAAAAACCGAAAAAGAAAAACGGAGTACCTGTTTGGTGCTAGCCTTCTTACATCTCACCCAAGCGTCCTGGCAGTTGTTGAACAAGATTATCATCCTCTGGGCAATTTAGTGACTTAGTGAGACACTGACTCAAAATTAAAGGGCCGGGGTCATAGCTCAGTGTGAAGGTTCTGGGTTCATCCCCGGACACCTCCAGAAAAAGATTGTTATCATATTCCATTTACATGTAAGAGAAATAACTAACATTTACTGCACGCTTACTATGTGCCAGGCACAATAAACGTGTTTTTCAAGCATCATCCATAGGCTTATTCAGTTCTCACAGCAGTTCTCTGTAAAGTTGGGACTGGAATGGGTAGCAAAGCTGAGGCTCAGACAGGGGAGGTGTAGTGTCCTTGGACACTTAGTATTTGAACTCATTCATGTTCCACCCTCCAGTTCGGGGATTGAGCCTCGGGCCTACCACATACCAGGCAAGCGTCCTACCGCGGAACTGCATCTCCAGCACTTAAAACCTTTTTACTTTGGGGCAGGGCCTCACTAAATCGCCTGGCTGGCCTCGAATTTTCGATCCTCCTGCCTCATCCCCCAGAGTTGCTGGGAGTACAGGTGAGCACCACCGCGCCCTGCGGAACCTCTTTCTGATACACGCTAAATTGTCTCGTCACTCATTTCTGGATGAACTGAAAACTTTTCTCCGTGAAAATAGGGGGAAAATATTTGACAGAGATCCCTAACATTGATTTCTGCCCTAGGCAAGTCCAGACGCTGATTTATCTTGCCTCAACTCCGCGCTTATCTTTGAGACCAAGGCCTTCGCCGCGCCGGCGAATCCGCGCATGCGCATGGCCTCCTACCCGGCCCCGCCCCCCGGGGGGCGCCTCTCCTTGCTCCCGGCACTAGGGCTTGCGCACTGCGTCCCCAGCCAGAGGCTCCTTCCCGGTTGGGGACTTCCGGTGCGCGGGGGTGCGGTTCCGGGTCGTGGTGCGACTCGGGGCAATAGGGCTGCACCTCGGCCGGCTGGCAGCAGCGAGCAGCGGGGGCATGAGGGCGAGCTCGGGAAGCAGCAGCTGAGCGGGCCGGTAGGAGCACCGGTCCTTGAGGATCCTGAGAGTGCAGAGTTCGGGGCAGGGCCGGGAGGCGTGGGGAAGCCGGGCCCTCGTCTGAGGAACGTGTCCCGGGGCCGACCCGGCCAATAGTGTGGAAGCAGCTTCAGGTAAAGGTTGCCCAGCCGGTAGCTCGTCCATCGGCGGGATCTGGCGACCCCCTTACTGGCTCGCTGTCGGCACTGCCCAGCGGGCCGCCTGTCAGGCCCAGGGTCGGTGGCCTGAGAGCATCCGTTTCCTGGCCCTTTCCAGAATCAGAGGCGCCCCGACCCTGACCACTGGCTGTGTGATTTAGGGAAGGAGCACCCAGTGGACCTGGTAGAGTCAGGTGAGGATGTGCGTGCAGTTGGCTCCGGCAATTTCTGGCCCTGCGCTCAGCATTATCTAAGTGCACTTACCTTCGTAATTTGAAATCAAGTTTTAAAACATTGCCGGTGTGGTAGTCCCCGTTTCGTGGTGCCCGTTCTTCCAGTCCCCCAACGGGGTCAACAGCCTCCCAGATGCTTTTCTACATAAGAGTACTGCTAGAACTTTGATTCTGTTTTTTGTTTATGGGAGTGGCAAGGACTGTTTGAGGATAAGCAAGACAAAGTTTACAGTTTAAACAAGGGTATAATTTTAAAACCAAAATAGAGACCCCCAAATTGACCCAAAGTTGGCTAAAACGTCGTCCTAAACGAGTGCAAGTAATTTTTGAATGCTGTCACGGTACCTGGCACTGTGTAAAGCACCATATTGTCATAAACCAAAGTCAGCAACGTGCAGAAGTTTCCCAGGTGTGAACAGTTAAATGGAAAGCCACGTCAGTTAAAGGAGCCAGCATTCTCATTCTGTCCTGACAAGCAGAGGTTAAAACCCGTTGGAGGGCCGGGTATTTAGCTCAGCGGCATAGCGAAAGTGCAAGTGTGAGGTCCTGAATTCTTTTCACAGTACCCTTCAACCCCCCCCCCACAAAAAAAAAAACCAAACAAAAAACCCAAGCCTATTGGAGCAGAAAAAGAGGCACCATGTTGTGTTCTTCATGTTCTCTGAGCCGACACAAGGTACTCAGGATGTGCTAAAGAGTTCTTGATAAAGTGATAATTGTTTTCATCTTTTTCAGTTTACACACCTGCAAGTTGCCTGGGTCGTGAGGCTTGCCGGTAGCCCCTTTTTCCATTCGGCTCTTCACGCCTGCCTTTAACTGTTGGGTGTGCCAGACTGCACTCCTACTTCTCTGCACCTCCTGATCTGGCTCTGGCTATCAGTGCTTACAAAGATTCCCACTGTGATCCCTTACTCTGGATAGGTAGGATGTTAAATCACCTTTGTTCTCTGTGTCCATCCTTTTTTTTTTTTTTTTTTGGTAGGCTATTCTCTGTGCCCTACTTAGAAGCTTTTCCCTTTTCTGTTTCTGCCTGTTGAGGTAGTACCTATGGACTGCCTGAAGTGGCCCTCCTCAAGTAATTTCGGACAGTCTCAGCTTAAAAGGGATTTCTTGCTTATTTAGAATCCAATAAATATTAGATATTCATTTAGCAAACATTCACCAAATGTGGATATATGCCAGATACTTTTTTTTGTTTTGTTTTTTTCTTCCGATACTGGGAATCAAACTCATGACCTCGCACTTGCCAGGCAGGCACTGTGCCGCTGAGCTAAATCCCCAGCCACCCAGACACCTTATTCAACAATTTAGAGATAAATAAAATGCAGTCTTGGTGCACAGGGAGCTCATTTTAGTGAGAGAGATAAGGAAATTAATAATCCTAACAAGAAGTGATAAATACACAGAATTGTTTTTGTGATACAATAGTAATACAGTGTTAACTTGTAAGAGGTGAGGTATATGATTTGGAAGTGCTTCATAATATGAGGTTAAATTAAACTTTAGTATTTACTACATATTACATATGGGCTTCTCTTTAATAATTTTAATATCAATTTGTAGATTAGGAAGACTCAGGATACATTACATAGCTGGTATGAGAAAAGCAGGAATAAAACCCACGTCTATCTGATGCCCAAATCTGAGTTTTCCATTTCTTGGTTCTTGCCTTCATTCTCACAAGATAGCTGTTTCAGTGTGGGAGTACATACTGAAATAATTCTACAGGAGAGAACAACATGAATGTTAAAATGAATGGTATAAAACATCCTTTTAAAGTTAGCAAAGACTCTCATCTTCCAAGGGAAGAGGTCATAGATGTGTCATTTGTGTTTTGAATGAGCAAAGAAGACAGTTTGAACAGAAGGAACGTAGACTCTAGATTCAGTTCCTGTCCTTCCTCTTACTACATGAGTGACTTTGGCAAGTCTCATTTTTTTCAACTAGAAGTTGGATAGGGGAATAATACTGACATTACAGAGTATTGTGAATATTTAATTTAATTGTGATATTCTAATTTGGGCAAAGTGCCTGGTATAATTTGAGCACCCCTAATCCCAAATCCATAATACTGTAAAGTCTGAAAATTTCAATAAAATTTTTTTATTAGTACATGTTTGTAGAACATAATGATTACATTCATCTTGGGGAATTGGTACAGATACATAACACATCTTAATTCTTTTTACTTTCCCTTCCCCTCTCCATCTCTTGGTCTACTTCCCATTTACAAAAGATCTGTCATCTTGTCTTCTGTTATCTTTTATTTGCTCTTGAAATTGTTTATATTTTGGGTTTCTCATGTAAGAGAAACCATGCAGTATTTAAGCTTGTGTGTCTGATTTATTTCACTTATTGTCTCAAAGTGCATCCATTTTCTTATGAATAACTCAAGTTTATTCTCCTTTATGGGAGAGTAGTACTCCATTGTGTGTAAATATCACATTTTCTTTATTCATCTGTTGATGGGCATATAAGATGCTTCCAAGATTTAGCTATTATGAATTATAGTGCTGTAAACATGGGTATACTTCTGTCACTTTAACTCTCCTGGGAAGATACCTAGAAGGGGAATACCTGGGTCAAGTGGAATTTCTATTTTTAGTTTTTTGAGGAATCTCCACACTGATTTCCATAGTGGTTGTACTAGATTACATTCCCATCAATAATGTAGAAGTGTTCCTTCTCTACATCCTCACCAGCATTTATTATTATTTGATTTCTTGATGATAGCCTTTCTTTCTGGAGTAAGATGATATTTCACTGTTCTGATTTGCATTTCTCTAATGGTCAGCAATGTTGAACATTTTTTTCATGTATTTTTTGGCTATTTGTACCTCTTCTGTGAAGTGTCTGTTCATTTCAGTTGCCTATTTTTGATATGGTTTTAGAGTGGTGAATGAGTTTCTGGCCTAAGTAAAGCAAGTCGTTACTTCTTTCAGCAGGCGTTTATTGAGAGGGAGCTCTTTCTTTGAGTTCTTTATGTATATAGGCTTGATGTTAGTCCTGTGTCTGGGAATAATTAGCAAAATATTTTCCCATTGTGTAGGTTGTCTTTTCATTCTGTGGATTGTTTCCTTTGTTGTGCAGAAGACTTAATTTAATATGATCTCATTTGTTAATTCTTAGTATTATTAGTATTATTACTAATTCTAGTATTATTACTAATTCTTAGTATTGTTATAGTTAATTCTTAGTATTATTTCTTGTGCCATTGAGGTTCTGTTGAGAAATGCCTACACCTATGTTTACAAGTTTTACCTATTTTATATTCCAGTAGATTGTTTTTGTTTTAACACTTAGATCTTTGATCCATTTTAATCTTAGTTTAGTTTAGTGAGGTATATGAATGTAGGTTCAATCTTCTGCATGAAGATAGCCAGTTTTTTCAGCACCATTCGCCACCCCCCCGACCCCCCCCCCAATCGAACTCATGATCTCGTGCTTGCCAGGCAGGTGCTGTGCTGCTGAGCTAAATCCCCAACCCTCAGGACCATTTATTGAAGAGGTTACCTTTAATGTTTTTGGCCCCTTTGTCAAAGATCAAATAGCTGAATGTGCCTGAGGTTGTTTCTGCCCCCTATATTAATTTTCATTGATCCATGTGTTTTGTTTTTGTGCTAGTACCATACTGTTCTTATCACTGTAGCTTTGCAATATAACTGCAAATCTGGGATTGTGATGCATCCTGCTTTGCTTTTTTTTACCCAGTCCAGCATATAATTTTTAAAATTTGAAACTTTTTGAGTGATAGTGTCAGGTTTTGGATTTTGGATTTGTGATGTACATCCAGTAAAGTCTGTGCAGATATTCCCAAACCTGAATTCTGAAACACATCTGATCTCAAGTGTTTTGGATAAAGGATACTCTGTATATGGTAAGGTGCCCTGAAATGATAGCTACAGGTTGCAAAGGTATAACAGCTGGGGCTTGGTTTTAGAGGTGTAAATGAGTTTCTAGTCTAAGTTAAAGCAAGTCATTTCTTCTTTCAGCTGGTTGGTGATAAAGTTGTGGGCAAGTGGAGTCAGAGTCAGTGGGGGCTCGAGTGCCAGGCAACAGAAGTAAATTCTAATTTCTACTCAATTTTCTGAGTTAATAAATAACTGTGAGGATCTCTGATACATTCAGCATTACCGGGCAGAATGTTAGACCCTGCAGATACAAAAAGGAGTAAAACCAGTTCTCTGCCCTGAGGTTGTTGACATTTTGGAGGAGGAGATGTGTGTGCAGGTGAACTGTAGGTGCTAAGGTTGAAGTCCCCCTCCTAGTTCCTGTGAAGCCCAAAGAAGGGAACAGTGATGTGACAGCTGATGTGTGCTCATTGTGTGCCAGCATTTTGCTAAATGTTTTATCTCACTTATTCCTATGTGAGAAAGTGTTAGTAGGATCCTGGTTTTACACATAAGGAAACTAGGCTATCCACTAACAAAGAGGATAAATAACCCCTAACAGGGAAGTTAAATGATTTCCTTGAGTGTTGGGGTGTAGCTTTGTGTTAGAGTGTGTGTTTCATGTGCTCAGGGCTCTATGTTCACCCCTAGCACCAAAAACAGAAACAAAAACAAGAAACTTCCTTGAGTTTATACAGCCGATGGAGCTAAGCTAGAGGGATTGCTCTCTAGACTTTGGACTGTCAACTTCTGTATTCACCATGTTGCTTCTTCTCTGTGATGTGGATGGGCAACCCTCTGGAGAGGCCTTAGACATGAGCAGCCCTTGAGCTGTAGCTTCACTGTGCCCATCACTGCTAGGCAGTAGGGAGGAGGAGGAGTGGAAGTGGCCTCAGCACTGAACAAGTTTATCTCTTAATCTGTCTTTTCTTCCTTTTTTTTTTTTGTTGTTGTTGTGGTACTGGGAACTGAACCGAGGGCTTTTGTGCTGAGCTATATTCCTAGCCCTTTTATTTATTTATTTTTTTTATTTTTTATTTTTCTCCGATACCGGGAACCGAACTCACGACCTTGCACTTGCCAGGCAGGCGCTTTTGCCGCTGAGCTAAATCCCCAGCCCCTTTCCTAGCCCTTTTAAATACTTTTAAATTTAAAGACAGGGTCTTGTCAGAGTGCTGAATTGCCCAGCCTGGGTTCAAATTTGCAATTCTTCTGCCTCAGCCTCCCAGAGTGCTGGGATGACAGGAGTGGGCCACCACACCTGGCTCTAATCTGTCACTTCAGCTATATTTCTTTTTGGTGAGGGGTTTTGTATTGCTTGTGATTCAGCTGAAGACTTGAGAGAAACTGTTGCAGTTCAGTGGATTTATATGTTCAAGGCTGAGAGAATTGGTTTGAAATCTGTTATTCTGATGTATAAGCCGTACTGTTAAAGACACAGTGAGAAATACCAAATTACCATATGACAAGGAATTCTGTCACATTACATTTTTCCCCCCGTTGGAGGTGCCCTCTTTTCTGTGTTTGAAGTTTTTGAGAAGTTTTGTCTCAGAAGTTAGTACATTTCACCTTGTGTGGAATTTAAAATGATTGTACACTTAATTTCAGTCATTGTCAAATGCTTTCACATACCTTATTTCTTTGAATAGTTCTGTTAGTCCGGGGGTATCCCCATTTAACACATGAGCAGCTTGCAGCTCAGGGTTAAGTATTGTTTCCCAGGTGTCGCACAGCTGATGTGTGCCATCCACCTCAGGTGGCTCCAGGTCCAGTGCCCGTTTTGTGTGTCATGAGTAGGATGGGCCTCACTGACCTGGGGAGCATTCGCACAGGTGAAGGTAGCAGTCTAGTTGTCACGGGTGCTTAGTCTCAGCTACTTGGCAAGCTGAGGCAGAAGTCCAGGAGTTCCAGGCCACCCTGAGCAACACAGCAAGGTCTCCGTCTGTGATAGAAATCTGGATTTTAATGTATTTAGTTTAAAAGTTTGCCATTTCAAAACCTATCTTGTAGGCCAAAGCACACTGTGAGCTG